AAGAAGTTTCACGAGCATTGGTCGTATATTCAAAAGAAGAAGAAAACATACTTATTCCCAGATAGCTAACAGTGTAAGGTAACATTGTAGTAACTTTATAAGAAGTATTTATTGATTATTACCAAGTTAAAACTTAAAAAAAAAATGAGATTTAGAATGTAAGAAGTTTCACGAGCATTGGTCGTATATTCAAAAGAAGAAGAAAACATACTTATTCCCAGATAGCTAACAGTGTAAGGTAACATTGTAGTAACTTTATAAGAAGTATTTATTGATTATTACCAAGTTAAAACTTAAAAAAAAAATGAGATTTAGAATGTTGTTTATCTTTCCTCCAACTTGCTAACATGTTTTCTCAAATATTTAGCTATGTCACTCACATATCCACAAGCAAGCCATATCCATAAACATAAGGCACATAGCATGCTGCAGCAATGTAAAGTACTTAATTGATATCCGTTTGCTATATGTGTATCAATATGTCAAGCTATAACAGTTCTTCAACCCGAAATGAAGTGCAATGTTTGGATGCACACACACACACCAGTGAAAGGGAAAAAATCAATGCAGTTTCTTCTAAATACATCATAAAGTTTGGTTAAGTTTCAAGAAAACCTCTCTTCCATAAAGTTCAACAAAGAACCCCTCATATGTGATCAACAATTAATTTGTTAGATAATAAATTTGGTTCTTCAGACATCTAGGCAGACATCTGCATGCAGAATTTTTGGGCTAATGGTACAACGATTATATATATTTTTTTACCTTATTCGGGAACTAAGTGTTTATAGATTTTGAACTGCAGACACATGTCTAGTCCAGACGTCTGCACGAAAAAAATCAAAACTTTTTAAGCGGGATTTGTTGGAATATTTAGATGAGGGGGTTTCGTGAGAAAAAAAAGGGTATAGCTAAAAGGGGTTTATTATATTTATCCTTAACATGACAGATAAACTCACACAAGCATTTTAACAAACAGTCGGCATGCATTTCTCAAGTTAAACACAAAACTCACAGCCACAGCTAGAATTCACCATTCGACAGCATAGTCAAGTAAAGCATGCTTCTACAACAACAGCAAAAAAAGTTGAAGAGAAATTCTCACCCTCGGGCGCCGCCATGGCCTTCACGGAGCCCTGGCCATGCCCGCTTCGCTCTCTCAGTACGAAAGGGACCGCGGACTTGGACCTCAACCGGACATTCCCAAAAAAATCAGAACTTTGTACGAGGCTCGACGGCAAGAAT